GGAAATTCTGGCTTCACAGATAATGAGCGTCTGATGACCAAGGTATTTATGTCGTGACCGTGGTGCGGGGCACCGCCGCAATTAAGCCCGGCGATATTGGAGGATGGGCTTGGGGGAATTGGCGCAACGCCAAAGCCGATACTCCGCGGGTATACTCCACAACGGCACTTGCAACTCGAAGTCTCAAACACACCTCTCGACGTTTTTGAAGTCAGATTACTAATTGAGTGTGTCTACGTTTTTGGCGTTGAGCGCGCGATTCTGCTAACTGTGAAGAAGTCAATCTACATATAGGTACTAGCACGGTGCAGCAGACGACGTCGATGTCTCTCTCTGCCAAGCTGTCTGGCAAAGCGATCCACACTGGCAACGTCCAACTGTTAAACTTGCCTAAAGAAGCAGGTCACTGATGTCATGAATGGATGACAACATGGCCATATCCGATGATCAACCGGCACAATACTCATAACCCGACATCAGTCGACCATATTGCGATGCATGGCGAATCGAAACCTGTTCGCAGAAGTTGTGGCTTATTTCGTAGGAAAGGTACTGAGTGATTGCTGGCAAAGGCGTCGCCGTCTTATGTTCTCATCGATGGCTGCCCGCCCGTAAATCTCGGCAGATCTACAATTGCGAGGACATCACCTTGTCGCTGCTTCATCTAGACATAGGTGCCTGTGGGTTGCTCCTCCTATCCGTAGCGTAAAAGTCGTACGCGGTGGCTGAGTATTTCCACGGACAAGTAGATAGCTTCATGTCGGCATCGGATATCATGACAAGATTGTGACATTGTCACAAATTTGGAAGTTCCCCCAGCGGCCTTAAGGGGCTCTGGCACTTGAATTCAGAGGTCTGCGCGCTATCGAATCCAATTTTAGCGATTAACCTAGGGCTTCTTTTAGCATGCAATAACTTTTCAGGGCTACCATCCCCGATTATAGCTGCATCTAGTGCACGCCGACTCAAGGACACATTACGCATCTCAATCTAAGTCTGTACCTGAACAGAGCCCTAGGGCGCCCAGTAATTTACGCGATTTTGTCCTTGACTTTTTGAATCAATATTTTGTCAATTCGAAGGCTAAGTATACTTTGCTCATGAGTCGAATTGGACTAATTGGGTGTACTAGTAGGGAAAGGCAATCATCATGTAAGGTACCGTCGACATTCGCAAAGTACACAGCTGCAAAAGAAATACATTTAAGAGGCACAGACCGCGAGCCTTTGAAGATTACTATGTCACTGCTGTTCTACCTACTATCAAGAATAAAATCCATTACCAGTATTTAGTAGTTTTACTGCCTTTTGTAGGGAGTAGGTGTGTAAGTGGGATCCGCCGGGAAGGAAGAGATAGGAATCTCTGGTCCATCTTCCACAGGGTCAGTGTTTGGGTCGCTTGACACGCCCGTGGAGGAAGCCTCCGGTGTTGAAGGCGTAGTGGGGGTCGCAATAATTCCGCAGTTCGTGTCAGGCTCGGCCGGAAGATTGGCGTAAAAGTCCGCGTTGTAAGCTGCGTCAAGAGAGGCTTGAATGTTGGCATCGGTGAATGGACAGCGGGCGTGTTCGTAACGGAAGGCATTGAACTGCGACATGGCCGCCGGCGACAGCTTACTCCAGCTGATCAGCGGCGGGCTGAGTCCGTACTGAGCATTGTTTGCCGAAGGGAAGACGTTGACCTGGCCGTCGTAACCCACGATGGCGTGAGTGTTGGTAGCGCCTGTTCCGCTGTCTCCAGAGGCAAAGATCGTCGACGTGGTAAGGCCTTTGTCGTATGTTTCTGTACCGGTAGAATAGCTGATGCCCGCAATATCGTAGTTGCCAGCAGCGGCGTTGCAGGTCTCGGTGTGTAGCCAGACCACTGTAGTGAGGTACCAATGCCTGTGGTTCTCGGTCTTGGTCTGGATCTTGGGAAGATACCACGAGTAGAGAACGGCCGGACGCCCATTCGAGGTTCCAACTCGGGAGTAGATTTGACCCTTGGCAGAGTCCCGACAATCACCTCCACTCTTGCCCGTAGGTTTGAGGCCGCGCCTGGAGAGAGGATCGATGAGAACAAAGCCAACGGAAGACAAGTCGAGAGGACACGTACCCGTGGAAGCCATCTTTATCCACAGCTGCATACGGGAAGCATCCGCTACCGTCGTTCAGCCAAGGCTTGAAACGAAGTTCGATGTCGCCTGGGGTGCCATCGGCCGTTTGCTGCTGAAAAGCCGCAATTTGGTCATGGTTCTTCCACTGATTATTCAAGGAAACGTCCTTCTCCCGTGGCGACAGGACTGCGCCAGCCGTCAGCGTGGCTAGTCCAAGCAAAGACGAGAAAAACGAGTGGCGCATAATTAGTGGCTATGATATTAACGAAAGACTAGAGCTGTATGATGTTGGTTCTTTCAAGTCTAGCCTGGGGGGAGAAAGCTAGATCATATAGCCTACTCAACCACCCCCAGCGACGGAGTTGTCGGTTCCTTGATCTTTGCAAACAAGAGAGCGATTTGACATCGGAGAAACCGAACACTGCTTGACAACAGTTGACTCGTTGAGCCTGCAACTGGGCCAGTTAATTAAACATGATAGTTCATATAAATAGAATTTACGGTTCACAACGCAGTTGGGACATGTTCGTCCCGTCTCTTCCATGCCAAGGATCTACAACATCGTGCCAAATATAGTGAACTGGCCTGACTCAGTGCATTCAATGTCCCACTTGCTGAGATCCACGACGACCCAAAGCGCTCTTTCTCTCGCAACCAAACGCAACTGGCAACTGACTGCAAGAGACTGTGGAAAGGGATCGGAATATTGAAGTCGAAGTGATAGCTCACATCAAGCGACTCAGCAAGGGAGTTCCGAGTTGACAACCCACCATTAGTCTATATGCATAAACAACTCAAGCTCTTCAATTTTCTGTGACCAAGACCTGCCCCACTATATTCTCCTATTCCTCAAGAAACAGGACTGATTAAGGTTTCGGTGTGCCCGACAACTCTTTGTGGCGATCAAGTTCAGAGAATGAGGATATATACCCTTTCATTGAACAAGTATCTCCAAGTGGTAGATATCAAGAAACCAGCTCTTCAATTCGACTCTCCATACAGCCTGCCATCGCGCAGCCAACACTCATTGGCTTAATTTGTATTACACTCGCTTATCAAAATGCTTTCAAGTAATTTCCCTGCCATTCTTCTGGCACTCGGCTCCATTGTGACCCTAGTATGTTGCCCCAGGACAAAAGATCTCCACTCTCAACCGGGCCATCATCTTACTAAAGTAATCCTGCGCGATAGATCTCTGGCCAACCTGTCCGACCATTCGCTGTAAGTGTTTCGGCAAGCCTTTGCTTCAGAACCAATTGACTAATTCCCATGCAGGGAAACCGTGCTTACGCCGTTGACGCCGAAGCTGATGAGACTGGCAACCGATGGGCTTTCTCTGTTTACGCGGACGGCTACACTGCTCGGGATGAGGAGGGCAACACCTCGCCTGTTGATACCTTGCTCGTTAACAAGGTGTCCAAGCGCTTGACTGTCATTAAGGCCATGAACGGATTCGACACCACCACGCCCCGCCTCAAGATGCGACAGGTTCTCAAGGAATGCTGGAAGATGACTGGCCTTCAGCCCTCAGAGCTGAAGGAGGTCTTGGGCTACCAGATTGAGAACGACGACATGAACAAAGCCCTGGGCGAGTGCCGTATCAAGATTGGCCTGAGACCTACTGCATCCTTCGAGATTTCCAGCAAGGAGACGAACGCGAACCGCAAATGGTGCTGGGAGAGGCTCGGAACAACTATCTTCTCTTCGGCAATCAGAGGTTCGATTGCGGACTTTTCTATCAACAAGCAGCTCATTCAGATCAAGGTGGACAATGGTGGAAAGTGGGATCACGTCTATTATGAGTTCTCGTGAATAAGCCAAGGTGTTTTCGAGGGGTTTGTTTACTCCTTCGGGACCTCGACGAAGGCGGTATCTCGAGTGTTAGCCTGCGGGTGTCCATGCACCCGTCGAGGGAAATAATCCAGCGTTAATAAATCTGCTGTTGGAAAACCATGCTCAGGTCACAAGTAGTTGCTTTGACTTTCACAAGCTCGACAAAGTTTGCTTGTCTGTCTGTGCAGGGAGCTAGGTTTTGCCCTACGATGTTGGCGCTGAGACCTATGCCAGCTCAAGGCTGACCCGCGGGGGGGAGGGGGGGTCGGAGCCATTTTGACAAGCCCATATACCTAGTATGTACGACTGAGTCCCTGATGAACCACTCAACCATAAGTGCATGTTGTCGGAATAATCATTATAACCTTTCCGCATGGCCGTACTAGTTTGGAGTAAAACGCAGGTCCAGAATTGGTCAATGTGCCGGTGGGATGGTTTTGTTTAGTGCGTCAAGCTGGGTAAATTTGCCGAATTAGACTTAGACTTTAGGTTTAAGGTCCACATCTGTTCGCATCGGATGGCGGGCCGCAAATGGTTTAGCCTCTGATTAACACAAGCCATTCTACACATCTTCAATAGAACCAGTTGATTCCTTTTGATGCTGACCTCACATGCTGCGAGCTCCTGATCGAATACAAACAATTATTGTCGCAAGATAATCTGATCGACTAACCAGACTTGGCATACCATTTCCAAACGCTAACTACCTAGCTTACTTAGCATGGGGAATATAGGAAGACCTTCGGGTGGGTGCTTTACTTGCAAGGAGAGAAAAGTCAAGGTACGTGGGGATGCAATGATTCAGTATGATTTTGGCATCCTTTGCCACATAGAAACAAGTGACTCATGTGACTTGTGCATTCAGTGCGATGAAGAGAAACCAACTTGCAAGAAATGCAGATTAAGCAAGCGAACTTGTAAGGGATACCGGGACACATGGCAGACTTTCCACCGAGAAGAAAACTTCCATGTTGCCCAGCTGGTTCATATCAGAGTCACGAAGAAGTTGAAGGAAAGGCAGCAGCGGGCTACGGAACCAACAATTCCCCGTCAAGTACAACCCGATCAAGGGACAATGATCCTGAACCACTTCTATCGCGACTATTCCGAAGACTCCGGCATTGCCTTTTTCAGCATGTTGCCGGCCATATCTTCCGCAACCCCTGCCGATTGCTTCCTCGACGCTTTGAAAGCCACAGCACTTGCCAGTTCCTCACGGCAGTTGACCCAATGCGGACTCATGGTGCAAGCCAGAAGCCACTATGGAAGGGCAATTATGGGCCTCAACGATGCCTTGAAGAACCCCACTGTGGGACAAGATGACTCTGTGATGGCCGCATTGTTCATCCTAGGTCTCTTCGAGGTAAGCCGTGTCCCTTTCTCGTCTATGACTCAACGAGATCATATCTGACATCTACGTAATTAGGCTATCGGTGCGCAGCCACAGAGCAGACTCGTGGATACCGAGGCCACTTGCCACCCACATTCTCGAGGCGCCCTGGCTCTTCTACAACATAGATCATCCTTGAAACTAGAGAGTGACTTGGACAGAGTAGTGTTGAAATTCTTCAGTCATGTCGCGGTAAGGAAAATTCGTCTATCTTCAGAAGCATGGACAACTCATCACTGACGACCCATGTCCCGAGAGGTAGTTGATGGAATACTTTATGAGCCCCCCAGGCTTTGCGCCACTTTGGATCACGCTGTCTAAATTCGGAACATCCTGGGCTAATGGACCAATTCTCGAACCCGTAATGAGTCGGGCTGTGGAATTCAAAGCATCAGCCGAAAGACTAATATCCCACCCGAGTAGCAGTTCGGGTCCGACTGTTGATGAACTCCTTGGACCGGGGCTCGAAATTATTGAGGACCTTGCGGACGCAGCTTCATCGCTTGACTCGACAAGCAATCTTGCATCAAAGAAAACGACTTTCAATGATCTCATTAATACAACTTCGCATCCAAACATCATCATAGCATCCTGTCTCTATTTGACAGTGAAATTGCAACTCACAGAGCTGATGCTCAGTATGATCATCACGGCCGAGGAACATTCAGAAGTCGGGGACGAGCTTCGTAGTCTCACAGAGCATGGAAGCGAAAACGTGAGGCAGATATGTGAGAAAATCTCTGCCATTTTCGTAGATGGTCATCCTGGAGTCGAGCAGTATCAAGGATGGCCGTTTAGGGCGTGGTGCATGCTTTGGCCCATGGCGGCAATCATGAACTCGTGCTTGGCAGGAGAAGAAACGAGGGGTTGGGTCAAGAGCAAACTTTGCCATGTCGGAAAATTGACGGGATTTGGACTGATGACAATTATTGCTAGCATGTGAGGTTGAAACATGTACTCGGCGCCACGCCAGACTACTGTCGTCGACGTTTATTGCTCGACAAGAAAGATATCATCTTCAGACAAAATCTCACCGAGAATCAATGAGTTGCGCAGTGCCTTATTTGCGGATTTTGCCTTGAACCCGAAATCCCGCAAATTCCGGACTGCGTACCTAACTTGAATGGGCTATAGCTAACATCGACAACTGCTAATACCATATCAATTGAACTAGGTCCTCCCACGGCACATATCTCCACGCTAGCTCTCCCCCACAATGAAGAACGATGTAGTTTGGTCCATCTCTGTGCCACAACCCAGTCTCGCAGTCAAACTTAATCAGGCCAATCACAGAACGCGATCGGATGCAAAGCCTGAAATAGACTAGCGGCATCCTGCCCAGTTCAGCATCTTGGTCAAGAAGCTGAGAAGCGAGAGGTTGGTGAGTTCGACTATAAGAGGGAGGGTAAGGTTGACCACATGCATCAATATAATAATTCAGCAACATTGTAGCATCAGTCTGATGCCATACTCTCATCGATAAATTACTCTCCGCTCCAATACTTCTGGTGTTCTTGATTGACTCAAAAAAATACCCTGCTCAGTACAATGGCCATCTCAAGTTGCCTCTGCCAGGCCCTGAAGATCGAAATTCCAGGTCGTCCAATGGCTGCCGTAAGTCTCCGTCTATCTCATATCCATAATTCAATTCCAAAATTCTGACAATTTCGACAGGCTTTGTGCCATTGCAGCGACTGTCGGAAGATCTCTGGTGGTGCCTTTGGCTTCAACTGGGTTGTCGCCCTCAAAGATGTCGAAATCACCGGAATTCCCAAGACATTCAGCACGACGGCCAACAGTGGCAACACTGTCACCAGCCATTTCTGCAACAACTGCGGTGTCACTCTCTGGAGAGACGGACCAGCTTCTGATGGATTGATGTATCTGAAGGCGGGAACACTGGATGACTTCAACGACCAGAAATTGGTCACACCGATGGCTGAAATTTTCGTGTCTAAGCGCTTGAGCTGGTTGGGACCTGTTCCAGGAGCCGCACAGAAGCTGGAGATGAAGTAATTCAAGACCTAGAGGTCTTGATTCATGTTTCGATCATTGCCGGAACATTCTATGGACAAAAACTATTCTCATCCGAGTCAGAAAGGTATCCAAACTTGGCCTAGGCATATTTACCAAATCATTTTGAATCGGGAAGGAATCAATTCTCAGCTGGGATGTGTTTCATCACTACAAGAGCCGCTCGGCGGTTCAAATGACACATCTTCACACTACTCTCGATGCAGTATCCTGAAGGCTTTGACATCTGCCTTCTCACCAGAGCCACGATCAAGCGCATCCTCTACGATCTTATAATCAACGAATCCAAGATTCTCTACTCTTTCTCTGGTCAGAGTATTCTGAAGCATGTCGTGAAGCGGTCCACCCCTAGACCACTTGATAGGGGCTGTGAATGGGTGCTTCTGCCGCTCATACAACTCTTTGAGAATGAATGGTTTAGCTGCCTCTCGGAGGATCCACTTCTCGGTCAAGGCTTGTGACGCGACGCCAATGCCTTCCCACCAAGGACCTTGATGTCGCTCAGGGGGTATCTTGTCGGGTGTGTAGGCCATCTTAAGACTGGGAGGTAAGTTGTTGACGTATCCTGTTAGCTTGTGGTCGAGGAATGGTGTTCTAGCCTCCACACTATGAGACATCTCTGTCAAGTCACCGAGACAACTTAGTAGAATATTCGGTAGAGGGCCCTTGCTGTATATGTACTGGGCTGTGTGGAGTGGATGCCACTTTCTCTGCATCTTTTGCAGTATCGACGGCTTGAAGGACTTCACTATGACTTCCTTGCAGTCGAGGTTGGCCCATCGCTTGTCCTCCCGTACCCATGGCGCGAACAAGTCAAGGTTGGGGTGCCATGCCAGGATACATGGGGGAAGAATGGTGTTATTGACCATTTGAATGCCCGGCGTTGCCTCCCAACCGTGCTCAAAAGCGCCGGCACGGGGGATGAGCATCTTGATATCCCGCTCAGTGGATCTTTGCATATGTTCTCTGAGCTGCGAGTCGGCTACTAACGGCGAGTCCGGCATGGAAAGGTCGGGCTCGCGAAGCAAATCTGGAGGGAAGAATGCGTATCCGGCAAAGTGTTCGTCGGCACCCTCCCCGGTTAACACAACTTTGACTCCGTTTGCATTCGGCAAGGTCGAGAGAGCAAACTTTCCGACGCAGTTTAAGTCGAAGTGGTGATGCTCGCAGTGATAAGTGCAGTCGGCAAAGTTCTCTGCCAACTTATTTTGTCAATCTGCTTCTTTAAAAAATCTGGACGCCAAGATGCTCTGCTGCTCGCTCGGCAATGTCTACAAACACACGATGAGAGACGTGACATTTACTTGAGCGACCACAACTTTCTTACCGCTTTCATCAAATCCAGATTCCTTGGGGAATTGAATTGTGAAACAGCTGATCCGGCTTGTCGCGTCTTTGCTGCCAATTTTGATGCCCTCATCTCGTACCAAGTGAGTTACTATCCCGGCAACCAGAGACGAGTCGATACCACCCGAAAGGTAAATGCCAATCGGAACATCAGCTCTCAAGCGGAGGCGAATTGATTCTGTCAGCTCGTCTCGCAGACCCTGGACCATCTCGTCAACGCTCCGGGTTTCTCCCTCCGTCTAAAAAGTTGTTAGCTGAATATCCTTCAGAGGATCGGAGGCGCCAATCACTTTATCTTTATAATCAGCATCCCAGTACTGGTGTATCTGCATCACGTCGTCTCTCGATATCTCCATCCAGTGCCCCGGGGGCACTTTCTTGACTCCCTTGAATAATGATCTTCCGTCTTGCATCCATCCACCATCCACGATCGCACCGACATCCCACTACGGCTTCCATCCCAAAGGTCGGAAAGCTTTTGCTTCTGGGGCAACCAAAAGCCTGGTACCACCATCAGTCTGCCGCACAACAGTCCACAGCAATGGCTTGATGCCGAATCGATCTCTCGCCAAGATGACTTTTCCCGCCGTCTCGTCGTAAAGCACGAAAGCGAATTCTCCTCGGAGATGCTCTAGAAACCGAGGTGCGCCGAAAGCCTTGTATAACGCAAGAATCACTTCACTGTCACTGTGTCCCTTGAATACGTAGCCTTTTGCTCTGCAGTCTTGATTTGATCCGATGCGATAGTAGGAAAAATAAAGGCTCGCGAGTGTCATCTCACAATTTCAGTAATCATTCCATCTAGGTAGCTTACGAAGTGACGAAAACGGATGCTTTTGGTATGCCTTGAGATTGACGGATATCCGGGGTGAGGCCAATGTTCGTCGGGGCGCCTTATTCGGCATGTCCCACTCGGTACCAGCCGAAAAGGGAATTCCCGGACCCGTCCCCTCGGGGCACTACTTACTTTTGCAGCGACAGCCACCTTTACCTGGCGGCACCTCTTGGTGAACTCGGACCTCCTAGAGCACTGATTAGAGCCACAAGACTTGGATCCTGCAGCGCAACATTCACCTGAGAATTGAAGACGAATATCGTAGAAAGGCTAGGAAGTGAGGTAGCAGGTACCCGATCTATTAGAGCCTTTGCTCAGTGTAGGGTACGATGTGCGGCAAATAGACAAAAGACATCTTGATGGCAGCCCGACAAGAGTGGAAGTCCTTTGTAAACGGCTATGTTCACTAGTTACAGCCCACGACGAGTGAAACGATTAGTTTACGACGCAATCACATTGACTGGACTCTCTAATGGTGATACAGAGTATGCGTTTCGATGCCTAGAATCGAGACGAAAGTTTTGTGCTTCGCCTCAAGGAGTTGATAATTCCTGCAACAAAGCCTAACATTGAGCCTCATGGCATTCTCTATACTTCGATGCTCGAATACGAGAGCAGTAGAAAGCCTTGCCCATCTCCTTTCTAAGTCATAAGTTTCGGACTCTTCGAAGAACCCGATGCCGGTGCGGCTTGGGGCCTGAGCACCTCAGTCGTCTGATGGGCCTTCATGTTATACCCAAATCTGCCCTATCCCTGTATCTCTTCTCCGAGTTCCTTGTGCTAATACAGGGAGGAGGTAGTAAGGGTGATTACGCAAAAGAGTGATGTGACGGTCGATACTCGGACCAACTGATGGAGGGTAATGTTTTCTCCTCACGACATTCGCAAGACCGAACTAACCACACAATGGCCACATTATGCAGTCTGACCGCAAGGTCAAATTTTCCAACCCGTTTGCTCTATGTGGTTGGTGTGTTCGCGTAAAACATTGCTAGGGTCAGAAGCACCGGACGAACTAAGTTTCCGTTGATTGAAGCTGCAAGACCTTTATCTAATGGAAGAACCACTCAGAAATCATGAGGCTCTCAATCTCATCCACTAGTATTGTGTGCTAGCCTTTTGATCAATCAAATCAAGGAGGCATTGCTCCGCTCCGTGAAATGGTATTCAGCATCGTCTCCATCCACAGCTGGATTTGTGAATTTCTGGTTACAACCATACTTGCTCAATGGGCAGACCCTGGCCTCACTCAGGTTGCTTTAGGCGCAAACAACGCATGCGAAGCTGGCAGTGTACGACCTCCTGAGCTTGACGGCATTCATATCATTTCACTTACTGCGGCTAAATAACTGAACTACACGTACAATCCTCATCCAAGATTTCGATTTGGCCGGGCGATTTATGGCCTAAACTTTTGCAACATCACAGTCATCTACACCCATCCAGGCTGGAACGATGAGATTCAGGCTACAACTTTTGTTCCGATGGAAAATTGGAACGGGAGATTTTAGGGAAACGGAGGCGGCGGATGGGTCACGGGGGGCAGTAAACTTGACGACGCGTCGGGTGATGGTATGTCTTGGGCTTTCACCAGTCCCGGAAACATCAATTGGCCACTTTTCCTCGACTTCTCTCATGTCGCCTTACACGACATGGCCATGATTGGAAAAGCCTTGACGGAGGCTTTTTACAGCACCCCTCCAAAGTACTCGTACTTTTATGGCGGCTCAACCGGCAGAAGATAGGCTTACATGCTAGCCCAGCGCTATCCAAACGATTTTGACGGGATTCTGGGCTTCTGTCCTGCCATAAACTGGGACAAGTTCTAATGGTCTCCTCTGTGGGCAGCGCTTATACCCAAATAAATAAATCAAATATAAGGTTTATATTTAATTATTTGGCTAATTTCTCGCGCTATATTTAATTATTTAACTTATTTAATAAATAATTAATTAATTTAACTAATTTCTTAATTGGGAATTAAATAAAGCTATTATAAAAGTCCTTATAATATTAACTTATAAACTTTATTTTAATTAGCTTTTTTATTTATAAAATTAACCTCTTATTTCTATAATACTATTATAAAGTTAGTTTTTAAGATATTAAACCTTTTTTAATATAAAAGATTTTATTAATAATCGTTATAAAGTTAAAGTTAATTTTATAAAACTAAATATTTTTTTATAATTTATTATTATTATAAAGATTATAAAAATATTAAGTATAAGCTTACTTAATATTAAATAAGTTAGTTAATAATTAATTTATTATTAAATTAAGTTAAGGACTAGCTAAGGGATAATTTATAAATAATATTAATTAAGCTTAAGTACGTAATTAATTATTACTTTTATTATTTAAAATATTAATTATTATTAGTATTATAAGTTTTTTATAATACTTTTTAGAATTATAAAAGTAATAAAAGTAGTTTATAACTATTATAATAAAAGAGGAGGACTTAAATAATAAAGAAGAAAAGGACTTATTATTTTATTTATATACTATTTTTATTAGTAATTATAGAGTCCCTTTTTTATATTAAATAATTAATAGCTCTACTTAAGTATATTCTACCTCTCTTTTAACTATTTTAATCCTTATTTAGGGTAAAAAATAATTATTATAATATAGAGCGGAGAGTTATTTAACTTAATATAATACTTATTAAGAACTTATTAAGTATTAATAACTAATAATTAAAAATATTTTTATAAATTAAAATTATTATTAAAAAGTAGTTTTACTCGCTCCCTAAGTATATACTTAAACTAAATATAACGAGGGATATTACTTAAAGTTAAAAATTAAAAAAGAGGTTAGGATATAAATTAATAACGAGCTAATTACTAACGAGGTAGTATTGTTTATATTAATTATAATTATAATATTACGATTTAAAAAACTATAAAATCTATTTTTTTTTTAAAAGGTTTATTATATAACTTTTTTTATTTTTTAAGACGGTTAATAAGGTACTTAAGACTTACTATTACTTTTTATAAATAACTATAATTATTTTTTTTATTTTAGCCTTAGTATCTTATTATTTAAAAATAAAATAGTTTAAATACCGCCTTTAGCTCGGTTAGTAATTACTAATCATTATTATTAAAAACGTCCTTAATAGGGATCCGTTATTTTAGATCTTTATAAGCTTAATTAGTTATTAAAAAAATATAAATCTACTTTTTTTTTATAAAAAGCGCTATATTATAAAGTATATCGAATTTTATTTTATATTATTATTAAATATTAGTATAAGCTTTTATAACGACTCCTCGAAAAAAGTAAATATATCGTTTTCGTTAGTTTTATTATTAACTTCGAAAAAGGCTTTATATTATTAAAATAATAAATAAATAAATTTAATAACGTTCTAAAGTTTATTAATAAGGCCCCTTATATATTAAAAGTTAAGATCTTTTTAAAATTACTTAGTATTAATTAATATATTTAATTCTTATTTAAATACTTCTTTATTATTATTAAATAAAAAGGCTTTACTAACGAGGTTAAGAATATAATTATAGTATTTAATCCTCTAATTAAGAATATCTTTTTAAGTATAAGTATAAAATAATATAGGATATAAATAACTGAGGTAAATATTATTATTTAAAGTATTATTATAAATAACTACTCCGACTTAGTTACTTAATTTTTAATTATTTATTACTAATTTTATAATCTAAGTAATATTAGCCCTATTATAAGTATTATACTATTATTATAAAATAATAAGGTATTATATTTATTACTTAGTATAGTTTAAAAAGTAAATAAAAATAGTAATAATAGTATTTTACGTTAGCGAGGTTTATAAATTAAATAATAAGTAGACTTTTATTATTAACCTCCGGATTTTTACCTTAATTATATTTTTTTTTTAATAAAAATCCTACTTAGCTCCTTTTTTATATTTTTATATAATAATAAAAGTTTATTAGTAATATTATAATCTAATTAATAAAAGAGGGCCCAGAGGTAAGGATTTTAAAAAGTTATAAATAAGCTATTATTATTAATAATATACCTAATTATTAATTCTTTAATTCTCGTTACTTAGCCCTTTATAATAATACTAAAAATAAGTTTCTATCTCTTTAGTATAAAGTTATATTTTAAGAATTTTAATAAATATAGTAACTTATTAGAACTTAGATTTATTACTTAGTATTTTAACTTTAAATAAGTTATTATTAAGCTCGTAATTATTATTTTAAAATAAATAATAATACTTATTTTATTATAATGATAATAAAACTAAAAAACTTTATTTTAATTATTTTTATTATAGATTTTTTAAATAAAGACCCTCTTTAAATAAATTTATAACTTTTTTAGCTTTATACCTTTTTATAATATTAAATTATTATTAATAAAAGTCCTCTTTTTTTAGATTATTTTTAAAAAAGCGAGGAGGTTATTATAATTATTAAAGTTAATTAATAATACGAAACTAGCGTTAATTAGGGTCTATAATTATAGAGTAATCCGAAGTAGTTATTATATATTAAAAATTATATAACTTATTACTAATTAATTAATTATAATATAATAAATTGATTAATATATAATTTAATTAATTCTAATAATAATTATAATAATTATAAAAAGTTAAAAGTAGTAGTACGTAATTTCGTTAGTTTTATTAATATTAAAAAAAGGGGGTATTATAAGTTTTTTAAATTCCTAAATATAATAAGATACTAAATCTAACGCTCTATATTACTTAAGCTTTTTTTTTTATAATAATTATTAATAATCTATTTAATTAAGTAATATAATACCGAACTTATAGTTATAAATAAAGAGTTATAAGTTCGAATCCCGCTATAAGTATTTATATTCTTAATTATATACTTTTATAAAGTATAGTTAAGAATATTAATTTTTAATTAGCCCGGCCCCGGATTTTTTTTTTCTAAGTAATCTTATATTTAATTAAATATATTAAATATAGGGCCTTATAATATTTAATTATTTAACTTACTAAAATTCCTATATTTAACTGTTTATTTAACTTATTTGTTTAATTGATTTGAATGGGTATGTGCGCTGTCTGTGGGCTCACAGAGTCATGGATGAGAAGGGCGTCTACCCTCGACCTTGCGAGTTCGAAGCCATCACTGCTGCGGCTATGAAAGCATGCGACGGGCTTGACGGCGTCGAGGATGAGATCATTTCTATGCCCTCTCGGTGCTTCTTTGATGCTAGTACTCTCGTCGGCCATGCTTCTGACTGCGGAGGGAAAGACGCGTTGTTCACTCCCGAAGCAGCAGAGGCGGCAAATGCTGCTTGGAATGGGCCGCGAAGCTTGACCGGCGAGTTTCAATTTTCAATGGTATGGATATGGGAGAGATGCGAAAATGTGGCAGTTTGGTGCTCTCCATACGTCGTGTGATGGCGAAGGAGAGAAATGCGCGCCGGTCAGGTTGTCCATCGCCGAGGCGTACGCACGATACTTTGTCGCCAAGAACGCCGACCTTGACCTTCAAGCCCTTGGTCACAGTCAGTGGGATGATCTTTTCGTCGCGTCACGGAACGAGTACGAATCAATCACCGGCACTTCCGATCCCGACCTGAGCAGGTTCCGCAAGGCTGGAGGGAAGCTACTCAGCTGGCATGGGATGGCGGACCAGATTATCCCAGTCAACGGTACTGTCAATTACACGGACAAAGTCCTCAAGAAGGATCCCAAAGCCCACGACTACTTTCGCATGTTTCTCGCTCCGGGCGCTGATCATAGTATCTCAAATGGCCTTGCTCCGCGTAACACGCTGTCGGCGCTGGTTGAATGGGTTGAGAAGGGAATTGCACCGGTCACGTTGCGGGTTGAGGGGCTCAACGCTTACGGCAAGCCTATGACGAGAGACATCTGCATGTACCCGCAAGTTCAGCATTACGTTGGTGGCGACCCAGCATGGCCATCATCATTTGCTTGCGTTTGACAGTGGATCAAGCATTCGACCAAAGGTCAATTGTCCGTGGCTGCCAAGGGCACAAGAGCATCAATCTCTCTGTTGCAAAACGATTGGGGTGAGGAGTACTTCAGCGGGAGATGGCCGAAGCGATCAGACTGTTTTCGCAGATGGAGGCTAAGCAGACTTTGATGAGAGGATGGGAGCAAATCTACATGCGGCTTGCCCGTCAAGATTTGTTGCGGCTCGATACTTACTAACTTTTACTTCATAAAAATCGACATTGGGACCAACGATCTAGGTATGAGGTTCCACCACGACGGCCTTTCGCACCGCTAGATTGTTACGCGGCGTCAATGTGAATATGGTTCCTTGAGGAAAAACAACAAGGCATTGATGCCGGTAACTCTTAAGGCGAGGAATTATCAAGTTAGAATGAAGTTTCACGAAACTATAATACCGCGATATTGACACCGCAGGATATGGCAGACGTTCAAAGCAGTATTCAGCTTCCAAAGCGATGTTCGGAGTCAAAGACTGAGCCAAGTCAATCTCGGGGAATTGTGGCCTCTTTGAATGTAGTGGGGTAAATTACCCCACTCCGAGTTCACGCCGATGACCCCGCGTCCCGCGACCCTTCTGCCGCATTTCTATCTTATCGGAAGACGCGCCCCCATCTGCAGTCTGCTGACGGAGGCGCAGACGTGTGAGTGAGGTGGGAGCAAAGTGGACCAGGCTTTGACGGAATTGCGGCCGATACAAGCTAATTTTCAGATAAAGAATGTTTATTTGGCATCACGCACACTATCAGTGCCACTTCCGAGTTCCCACTAACTCCGTTTATACTCCGGTAGTTGGGAAACTTTTGGATTTCGTCATGTTCTCCGCCCGAAACACCTCGGCAAAACGGATGGCGTTGCCGCTAATCTATCTACTGACAAACACATCTTGCCCGGCATTTCTTTGAAAGAAATCTGATTTAGATATAAAGGCTTCCCGGGGACCTAGTGTTGTTCACTGTATCTCTTCACGTTGGACGCTGAACAGTATCGCCGCACGTTGTTTTCAAGATGGCTACCGACTACAAATTCGAGGGATGGGTGGCGGATGACCCCTCTTCGGTGGACGGCAAGATGGTCTGGCGAGAGTACGAGCCGAAAGTCTGGGAGGAAACGGACGTTGATATCAAAATTACTCACTCGGGCATTTGCGGCTCCGACATTCACACTCTGCGTGCTGGCTGGGTATGTCGCACACTCATGCGGCGTCCGTTATTCTGCATGTTCTCCGAGTCTCAATTGGCTAGCGTGCTGACTGTGACGTTTAGGGTGCCACCAGATTTCCTGCCGTCGTCGGCCATGAGATTGTGGGTGTAGCCGTCCGTGTCGGATCTCAGGCAGAAGGCGGTATCAAAGTTGGCGACATCGTCGGCGTAGGCGCACAATCCGACTCGTGCCTTTCGCGCGACGGGCCCTGCGATGCGTGCGAAGTTGGAGAGGAGAACTACTGCACCAAGCGCGTCAATACCTATAACAGCTTGCATCGCAACGGCAGTCAGACACAGGGGGGATATGCGCTGTATCATCGCTGTCCGAGTTACTTCGTGATCAAGATCCCCAAGGGAATTGCTCCCGAGCAAGCTGCTCCCATGCTCTGTGGCGGTGTCACAGTTTTCTCACCCTTGAAGCGCTACAACGTCGGGCCCGGCAAGAGAGTCGGTGTCATTGGCGTCGGTGGCCTCGGCCATTGCGCGGTCTTGTTCGCGAAGGCTCTCGGCGCAGACAAGGTGGTGGCTATCTCGAGAAGGTCTGATAAGAAGCAGGATGCTACGCAGCTTGGTGCAACCGATTTCATCGCCACGGCTGAGGACGAGGACTGGGCCACGAAGAATGCCCGCACCCTCGACGTGATCATTTCGACGGTCGCGTCTCCTAAGGTACGTGGACGACCCTCCCTCCGTGAACAATCTGGTCCTTGGGTAGAAGCTCACACAATGATAGATGCCTCTGGCCCAGTACCTTGGCCTTCTATCACGCGGAGGCACATTTGTTCAAGTTGGTGCTCCCGAGGAGCCGGTGCCACTGAGTGCTTTTGCCCTGATTAGAACCCGAGTGCATTTGACTGGATCAGTCATTGGAAGTCCTGGGGAAATCCGAGAAATGTTTGACCTTGTGGCCGCGAAGGGAGTCAAGGTCTGGGTTGAGACACGCCCAATGAACGAGGCCAACCAGGCAGTTTTGGACATGGTCGACGGTAAACCCAGGTATCGATATGTTCTGACAAACTAAGACCACATTAGACACCATAAATAACATGACCCATCCTTTCATTGACTTGGAGGCTTCGTGCCCTTCTACTAAGAAGTAGAGCTCCCCTTTAGGCTCAGATCACCTGGTTTTTTGATGCCTGCGGTGGATGGAACTTCCGCAACGAAAAGCGATCAGGAATTGGCCCTCAACCCGAACACTCGTCCTGCCTCAGTAGGTGTAGCGTGTTCTCGGTAAACGCTCAAGGGCGGATACTACTCTATTTAAGCAGCATGGATACGGGTAGCATGGGTCAACAGCCTTGGTTTTCGCTGGAAACCTCCATCGCAATTTACTTCAGGGCCCACACCGAAAGCTCACTGTCAGTCCGGAGGACTCGAGACCATACTGATTCGTTGCCATTGTCATCGCATTGAGCAATTCGACACACGTCGACAACGAGGTCCAACTCAAGCGCCCACTGGCATACAACTCGGTTATGACGATGTATTTTCTTCACAACTTACGGCGCAGTGAAGACATCTCTCTCTTGAGTCGAATGCTACCCGTTGTGGAGCAGAACCCCTGTACGGCCGGGGATCTGCGGTTGACATCACGACAGAATCTCGTATTTGCCGTTCTTCATCTCCAATCTCGTGTCATTTTTTCTCGCAAAGCAACAAACTCCCCATGAATAACATGAGAAAGCGGGGACGCGATCGCGGGCCGCCCGTGACCAGTTTCTGGGGTTCAACGCCACCATCTTCTTATATGGACGACATGTTCGCGCGACGGAATGCGGCTCTCTCTCAGCTTCTCATCCATCGGCCTACTTTTAGTGAGCGGGTGATCAATCAGACAAAATGAGGGTCTCACACGCACTAGTCTCGGCCCTCCTGGGTTCGAATCTTGCCGTCGCCAACCCGATCCATCCTCGCATCTATACGAAGCCTCCGCCAGCAAAGCTCCCAAGAGCCGAAACAAGCGAGAGCAACAACGTCAACCCGAGCGAGCTTATTCCTGGCGCCTACATTGTCGAATTCGCAGACGATAATGATTCACCCGAAACCTTCTTCAACTCTCTCAAGGCGGATGGCCTCGACGTCGAATCTCGCATGGACCTGAGCAACCGTTTGTTCAAAGGCGTTTCTTTTCAGGTCAAGAATGTTGGCGAGGCCCACCATGATAGCGCACTCCTCCGTCGCAAGATCGAATCTTCACCGCGCATCAGAAGTCTCTGGCCTGTCCGTACGATCCAGCTTGCAAAGCCCGAGGACCACGGCGCACCACCCAGCGGTGCGATCACTAAGGCCAACGCGAGGCGTCAGGAAGCGGCATTCGGAAACTCAACGAAGGACACCTTCTCGCCTCACGTCATGACTCAGGTCGACAAGCTGCGTGAGCAGGGTATCACCGGCAAGGGAGTTCGCATCGCCATCATCGATAGTGGCGTGGACTACACCCACCCTGCCCTTGGCGGATGCTTCGGCCCCGGGTGTCTGGTGGAGGCCGGCTGGGATTTCACGGGAGACGACTTTCTGCCCAACGTGAGACCGCTTCAGCCCGATGCGGATCCAATGGACAACTGCGCCGGACACGGTACTCATGTTGCTGGTATCATTGCTGCTCAGCTCGAAGGCAACGAGTATGGCTTCACGGGTGCCGCTCCTGGCGTCAAGCTGGCAGCATACCGAGCGTGGGGATGCGCCTCCACATCGACGAACGAAGTGTTGCTTGCCGCGTTCAGCCGCGCCTTTGAGGAGGGGGCTGATATCATCTCTTGTTCTGACGGAGAGTTCGTGCACCTTATTTACTTTAGGCGAAGCGTTCATGCTTTGGTTCATGCTTTGGTTCATGCTTTGCTAATCTCTTTGATAGTCCTTCTGGCTGGGCGGAGGATGCTTGGGGTGTCCTTGCTGCCCGCATCGTCGACGCCGGTGTTCCAGTCGTCATCTCCGAAGGTAACGATGGCGGCAGCGGCCTGTTCTACGCTTCAACCCCGGCTACTGGCCGCGGCGTCGCGGGAAGTGGTGCCGTGACGAACTCCAAGTTCCCTACTATACTCAACGAAGGCACTTTCTCCGTGGACTCTAACTCAACATCGGGTGCCAAATCTGACTTTGCCTACTTGCCTGGTGTTCCGGAGCTCGTGGGAGACCTCTCGCTTCAACTCTGGAGCCCCGGCGAGAATAATGCCTGCAGTGAACTGCCTGATGACACTCCCGACCTCAGCAACAAGATCGTCCTGCTTCTGTTCCCCGATTCTCGCGCTACGGGATGCTACCCCATTGACCAGGGTAACAAGATCGTCGCCAAAGGTGGACGCTATATCCTTTTCTACACTAATGATAACACGTGAGTCCTCCCCTTATCGTTTTCAATGTTCCACGACGTCTAATATTGCCTACAAGGACTATGCGGGACGAACAATATGTCTACTCTCAGGGGATCCAAGGTGTAGCTTCCATCCCCCCTTATCAGTCTGACCAGTGGCTCTCTCTGTTGCAGCAGGGTCGCACCGTCACTATCTCTATCCCTAGCGCAAACAATACCAGGACTCGTCTTGAGGAACTTGAGAACAACTCCAGCGGATCTTACATGGGGTCTTTCTCAAGCTGGGGCCCAACTTGGGAGTTGGAAGCCAGCCCGCAATTCGCCGCTCCTGGAGCCAACATCCTGTCTACCTTTCCCGTTGCCCTTGGTGGCTACCGTGTTATGACGGGCACTAGCATGTGTGAGTAACATTCTTTAACGTTTCTTAGGCTTTGAGGGTGAAGTAGCTTCGCAAAGTAGACTGACATATTCTCAGCTTGCCCTCTGAACGCCGCTATCTACGCTCTTCTCGCTGAAGCCCACGGAACGAAGGACCCCAAGCGTCTCAGATCCATCGTGTCGTCTACTTCAAAGCCTCTGGCCTGGTATGATGGAACTGCAGCGCATACCGATCTCATTGCCCCTGTCCCGCAACAAGGTGCTGGAATCATTCAGGCGTTTGACGCAGCTCGTAGCAACGTTGAGCTCAGCGTTGACAGCATCTCCTTCAACGACACCGACTACTTCACGGGCAACGAGACCTTTACCATCGACAACCATGGATCTGCCGACGTTGTATTTGAAGTCAGCCATCGCAAGGCCGTCACCATGTACACCTTCGTGGAGACCACGGATCGCTTGAGGGCTGCCTCATTCCCTAACCCCACCATCGAGGAGTGGGCTGAGCTTCAGTTCAGTTCTGAGTAAGTCACTCACAGTATTTAAGGTTATTCAAATGCTTTAGACTGACAACTTGGACAGGAAGATCACAGTGCCCGCTGGAGGATCCGCAGAACTCACCGTCACCTGCATTCCCCCATCTAACGTAAATGCTACGCGTCTACCAGTCTACAGCGGCTACATCGCCCTCACCAGTACCACCGATGCCCCTTCCCTGAGTCTGCCCTACCTCGGAGTCGTCGGTAGTATGCATGGTGTTCCCGTCATCACACCGGCGCAAGCATATCTCGCCAACTATTATAGCCAAGCTCCGGCCAACACGACCTACACGGTCAAGCGCCCTGACCCAGCCAACCCACCTCTGACCGACCGCGGGGACCAATCTGCGATCCCCAATGTCATTATCTCGCCAACAGTTGGCACCGCCTCTATCCAGGTCGAAGTCTTGCGCGTCAGCGGAGGCAAGGAGGAAAACCTAGGAAGCTTGGCTGGCTGGCCTCTCCCATACGCCCCTCGCACCGAAACACGCGCTTTCTTCAATGGGCTGCTGGCTGATAATACTGTTCTTGAGCCTGGTGTTTACGCCATGAAGGTTAGGGCGCTGCGGATCTTTGGGGATAGGACGAATGAGGGAGACTGGGATGTCGTCAAGACAGTGCCATTCGTGTTGAAGTATGAGACATCTGGAAACGGAACTACGACCTCGACGTAATGTCCGGAGACTGTATTCTGTATAACATCTTCATAATTATCTCCACATTCAAGGGTTTAACGAAGATGAAAATAAGTCAATTCCACACCCACCAATATCGATGGCTCATACGACAAGGCGTCAGATGGATGTCGTGGGTAATCCGTTAGGAGCCTTCCGAAATTTTTGAGTGTTCTCGCGCCATACTAGTATCTACTACATGTCATCTCATGAACACCTCGCCTGGCCTCCATACCACGCACAGCCTGATTCATGATTAGCCTAGAAGGACTCGGCGACCTAGAACATTCAGACAGGCCTCAAGATCCCAAGACTCAATCACGGCAGTGTCTCTCTTCAGCCAAACAGCTTCAAAGACCTTTCTAGCCAATCTCGGAGGACCAAAGTTTGCCAGATCTCCCATTAGATCAAGGACTTCACCAACCAAGCCTTCTTGCTCCTCCTTGGCCAAACAGGCAGTTACACAGATAGGCCATGCGAGCGTGTGTAACCAGCGAGCATTGCCCAACTTCATCATCAACGCAAGGTTCTCTGTCACTGATTCCCCGATCTCCATGCTGACTGATTGCCAGCCTGAGAGAACTATGTGAAGGTAAATAAGGCCAGCATGGGCCCAAATCTGAGTGACTAGGGTGATGGCCTCAGACTCCTCTTTTGCAGATCGGTAGTCAGCTAGCCAAGGTGGTCTCTGATCCCGCACCTCCGACTCTCGCGCGCTCAACGAACTAAGGCCTTCTCGAAACTTGATCTCGAGAACCCCGCCCCTTCTAAACAGCTCGAGATTTGAGAATGACTCCTGCTTGCGCATTTCCTTTTTCCAACGGGCTAGCAACGCCACCTCCGCAATCAATATCATGACCCAGTTCTGGCAGCCGATGAAGCGCTCTAAGAGAAGACTGCAGTTTCGGTTTGGGACCTCTTCAGACTTGTCATCAGTAACGAGCAACTCTTGGTAGTTTGCTTGTAATCGTGGTGCCTGTCCAAGTGAAGTGCTCGCCATAATGTCGTAGACTACAAGAAGAGCCGTGAAGAAGCGAAAGGCGCTCTGATCGAGTGTCCAGGCAGGAAACTCTGGAGGGTTTTTCAATTGAGGATACGCGAGTATGCCGACTTTCCGGCATGTAGCGGTCCATTTACAGCCTTGGAACTCTTCGTCATCGACCTCGTGGAGTATTTGCTCCAACAGGGAAATACCCGCATCCAAGTGCATAGTCCAATTATCTGACGTGCCAAAGGCTGCTTCCAAGTATAGCAGATGCACGATACTGTCATAGAGTCGGACGCTGGTGATCAAGTCCTCGTGTACGCCGCGACGGATGACTTCCTTGACGTCTTGTTGTGCCTTCTGCATCGCTATGTGCGTCTGCTTTTGCAGTTCAGCTTCGACCTCAGACACGCACTTGGGTCTCTTTGAGTGGCGGCGTTGCACCGGTACGAGGGCAAAGAAATGCGAAGCAAGGCTGGTTGCAGCATGGGATAGTGACTTGTTGGCCAGGGTAAGAACGAGCATCCAACTTCGACCGCCTTCAAGTATGGATGGATAGTAGAAGGGGAACAATGCCGGAACAATGTAGTCTAGATACGCTGAGATGTAACATTGCTCCAACTCAGTCGGAAGTTGTGGTGTGGACTTCTCCGGGCTAGAAGTAACTGATGATTGAGGTCCGGGGTTGGGTGTTCCATCGTTGGAATAAGAAAGCGACTGTGATTGCAAGCCTCTGTCGTGAGATATGCTGGGCTGCGGAACAGTTGATGGAGGGTTTTGTCTGAGAGGATATCTCGCAACAACCCCTGGAGACCCCAAAGTTGTTGATGGCGGCGGCAAAAGGTCATTGGCGTGGGCATCTCCGACGATGCGCTGTACAACCCTTCGAGCCCTCCTCAACTTGGCGCTTTTTGTAACCTCAGCCTTCAACTTATCAGTCATAGCCTGCTGTCTTGGTCCGCCATCCATCCAGTCCGGGGCCTCTTGGCCGGAGAAGCAGGTGATCTCGAGTCCTGCGCAGACGTTGCAGACGGGCAATGATTCGTCGCATTTTTTGTGGCGTATGCGGCACGTCCAACAGCTTGACGTCTCCCGTGGCATGCTTCGTCTCGTCGTAAGTCCTGCTAGTTTCCGTCGTCTCTAGGATTCGGTCGGGAACCAGAAGATATGGCTTGGTGTACCCAACAGCCATGCGATATCCAGATGTTTCCGCGCGGTTCACCTCAGACTCGGACATCTTTGAGGTGATGTTCGCTGTGATCCGCGGAGGGCACTATGCCCATAGCGGGTCCGCTAAGCTGCTAGCGCACTGTTCCCGCCCCAACCTGTTCCCGCGCGGGAACGTTTAGACGCGGCGGACTTTCGACAATAGACGACGGACTTTGAAGTCGTGATAGTTGCAACATCTAATTAGTCTATGGCAGCTGGAATCCCGTATAAAAGCAATTGAAAAAGAACTGCTCATTGAAGACTCAACATTGCTTCTTTGCGTCAACCCGAAAGTCTTCGATCGATGTCAGGCAAGAAAGTCCTAGTTCTTGGTGGAACCGGCCCGGCAGGTATTTGCCTACTGCGAGAGCTTGTTCATCGCAACCATGCAACTATCCTCCTGGCAAGAACCCCCTCAAAACTTCCGGGTAACTTAGTCTCTAGCTCTCTAATCGAGGTTCGTTGTGAATTTGAGCCTATATTCACTATTATGCCGAGTATGACTACATTCAAACTAACTTCTGTTCTTTGTTAGGTAATCGAAGGGGAAATGAGTGACACGAAAGCCCTAGACTCAGCAATGGCCCGCTCGTCTATAGTTGTATCCCTCCTTGGGCCGAACATCAACGACAAGCACATCGATCCTTCTCTTTACGCCGATATTTACCGCAATTATGTTTTTCCAGCGATGAAAAAATACAGCGTCAGACGAATTTTAGCCATGGGTACAATCTCTATCAAGCAGCCCGAAGACCACTGGACATTCTTCCAGACCATGGTCACGATTGTCATGCCACTTTTGAATGGAGCTGTTTACCGCAATATGCATAATCTTGCTCACTTATTTGGCAAAGAAGGTCACGATCTTGACTGGACTATCTTCCGCATAGCACAGATACCTGGAGAGTCTGATGAGACTAGCTGGAGACAGGACCGGGATCTCGGACTGTTCACTGGGTGGATAGGAGAAAAAGGTTGGACATCAACTCTTAGGCGGGGCGCACTAGCTCGATGGCTCGTGGATGGAGTCGAAGGTAAGATGGACGTTTGGGTCCATAAGATGCCAGGGATCAGTCAACTAGCAGGGGTCTGATTGACGTAGGTGGAAGGCAGTGATAATGATCCAAGCTTGCGGGTGCACGTTGAAAATGTACTTCAGAGCTATTTTCATTATTGCGAGATGAGCTTACTGTGGGCTCATTATCTTCGTGCTGAGGGCAGCCCGTAATTGCTTATTGGCATCAAGTTCTCATATTATCCGGCTACGGAACAGGGCTGCTGAGGAGGTAACTCATGTTATGTCGGCATACGTTTTGGATGTCGCTTACTAATAAAGGAGCTTCACGTCGGATTCATTTGGGCGGACATTGCATCATTTTCTCATTAGACGAAGTGCTCGAGAGCATATCAGGAACAGCTACGATGCCTACGTTCTAGGCCTTCAATCTACTCTCTATACACAACGTCTGCTTACCTTAGGTGTCGTAACCAATGAATGACAGCACAGAACGGAAAGGCAAAGCTGCTCGACAACTTACCAGCATTGCGATATGTGAGTTTTGATAAGAAGACTATGTTGAGTCTAGATCAAATAGTAAGGTTACCTTACCGCGGAAGTCGGGACGAGATAGGCGCGAGAGACTCTTCCGGAACCTGCTGCCGAACTGCCATGTCCGGTACTGCTTCCCAGCTTCGGGAACGCCTGTAACGTCAAGAAACCATGTCAGTCAATGCTGGCATATTGTAAGTGCCTGATGGCTTTGGGCTCGTGACAATCTTGTGCAGTTCAAATCTCGGCACCGAGCATATTTCTTCGCCAGTATTACCCGTACCGAACTGAGACGACAAGTCTTCAAAACAATCCGGTTTCTGCTCATATTATCGATGGTTTGCACCAGTCTTTTCTCCCTTCCAATAACACGAAGGCGTCGCTTTGCCTATCATACAACCTACAAGTTACGCCTATAGCCAGTCTTTTCGGAGGCTAGCCGTCTCATGACCTACCATACTCGGACATCCGGCTGTTCTTACCGTTTCGTCACAATGGCTCGGTTGCGAGTCGGGTAGACCTGCGACTTTGTCTACGGACTGGAAATCAGAACTCCTCGAATTGGCGCAAAGTTTCTTGGCGCCCTGAAACGGAACCTTGCTAGTCTTGGCATCCAATACGTCGGATATATTGTTTCCACCCGGAAGCAGCCACCTCGGCTTTCGTTTCTCGTTTTCCTCTCTGGGAATACTGCCCCATGATTGAACTGCTTCACGAACATAAGGGATGTCACTGCAACAAAAGCACGTGGATTTGTCTTTCTTTGCTTATTACGCTCCTCTCCCCCACTGAGGGGTGAGGACGATTGAAGCCAGCATCATCCCGAATCAATGATCGCTCCATTTACACTCCCGCGCGCGCGCTAGCTTTGATACTAATTCGGCGCTCACCGAGCCGTGAATGCGATCATATGGAAACCAGGCTTACAATTTGGCTTTTGCACTTCTAAATCATGGGCTGAGAGCTCAACCCGGTCAAACTTCTGAAGCAGGCTGACGGGGATGCAAGTCGGACCCGGTGTCGACCACAGCTTCCCATCGCGATTCCGAGCTCAGTGCATGTGTTTAGATCAGGGTGAATTTCTTCCCCTTTTCTGATATGTTTGATTGTCACTTTCAAATATCGAACAACATCACTCAACACGTAGTCACGCGCAAACACTGGGGGGGGCAAGGGTCTCAATGAGGTTCGTCCTGTGCTCGCGTAGAGGCACTGTAGTGACACGGCTACTGTCTGTTCCCAACAGACCCTTGACTCAAGGGTCGACATTCCGTTTCCTTCCAAAGCCAGCGTCGAACGTGCCAGAATTGCCTAGCATAGTTCGCCAAGCAATCTTTTAATCGTCTAGTGGGATCGACGGTCGGTCAGTGACATTTCTCCGAGGGATGTGACTCGGCACACGATAAGGTGAAGATCTTGCTAGGGTCATACAGACAACAATCTAAGCTTCGCCAAAAGCTTCGTTCCTTTCCGTCTAAACAACTGTCCAATCGTGAGCAAGGAGCAGCCAAGGTCCTGAAACTTTGTGCGGGAAAGTCAAAAGGAACCCCGCGCACGTCCGGCAGAGAAAAGCTCCATCGGGAAGCTCAATGAGCCAAACAGCCTCACCTTTTCTGTCTCATCTGAGAGCATGTTTGTATTTCCCACGCAATTGAAGATTCATGAATCCAGGGTATGATGGGTTGCTGTTTGGCCCGTGGTTCCGTGATGCCAGGATGTCGGAGAATGGAGAGAGTAAATTAGCCAAAGAATAAAGATCATCCATTTCCTTTAGCTCTAACCTACTCGCCGAGAGTTGCCAGAGCGGCCAATTCGTTTTCATTCTCTCATCTAGTTCAACTCCAAAATCCCACAGGTGCTGGACGCCAGTCTTGCTGATTGCCATTCTCTTCTCTTTTCTTCTTACGGGCAAAACCATCACAGTCCATTTTTCAATCATCATGAAGTCTATCATCAGCATCACGGCCTTACTCGCCACTGTGGCACTTGCTCACAATGACATGCCACCGAGGAGCATGTCCACAACAGAATTCCGCCAGGCTTTCATGGAAGCCGGTATTGTTCCCGATGTAATGGGGTCGTTCGATCCGATGGTGTCTTTCTACGCCGGTTACAAAGCTAGTGATGGCGATAAGGCATTGTTGATGCCCGGAACGAAACTCAAGATGAAGGAAACTAAGTTTCCATTCGAGTTCAGCGTCGAGAATATCATGAAAGCTAGAAACGTAACTCGGAATTCCAGATTCGTTCTTTACATGGTACGTGTGTCCCGCCGTGGGCTGGGCAGCTTGAACAGGACTAATACCGTGGACCAGATTGGGCCCGACTCTCCAACACGCGAAAGCCCTACAGAGCGAAACATGAGGCACTACCTCGCTGGCAACTTCACGCTTGAGCAGACTAAATCTGAAGTCCTTTCGTCAGCGATGATCATGAAGAACTCAACCCCCGCATTTAATGATTATATGGCACCGGAGCCCAAAGCTGGCAGTGGCATGCATCGATACGTGTACCTGCTCTACGTTCAACCAGAGAAATTGAACAAGATGGGCTTCGACGCCATGGGTGTCGATAAGATGAATCGGAAGAACTTCAATGTCAGTTCAATTCTGCAAGTTCAGGTTCCTTTGATGTCAAGCTGACCGTCTTTAGATCTCTCAGTTCCGCAAGCAAGCTGGTCTCGGACGCCCCATTGGTGGAACCTACTTCATGCTGAACATGGCTCAGGATAATGGAGGCAGTGGCGGCCATGGCGGCGGGAACAACGGGGGAAACAATGGTGGAAACAACGGCGGTAACAACAATAATAATGGAAACGGACGAAGCGCTGCCTCTGTCGTGACTGCGGGTTCTGTGGTAATGTTCATTACGCTGCTGGCGTCAATGTTTGCTTGGATGTAAGACAGGCCGATGCTACGGGCTGGGACAATGAGGACGGGGCGCCATCTGACGAGAAGATCCTCAAAAGTAAACGGAATTAATCTTTTCACTCGCTAGGTCAGTAGAGAATTGGTAATTTTCAACTTCGCACATACTTATCACTTTAATTCAAGTCTACTTGGTGCTGGTTGTTCTCAAAAGATGGTAGCTACTACCCACAATTCCACCCTTGTCATCATCTGCTGAGACCATGCAAAACTCTCTTCACATTCGCATCTCTCTCCATTTCCTGCCAAAGACGAGGCTCCCAGTCGTTGAAGCCCTCCCGCACACCACCTCCCTTGCCATCCACTCTTTCACTCGAAGACCAACACCTCGACAGCCAAGCTCGCAAGACGTGGCTCTGCCTCAGTGCCTTCGTAGCCATCTCCATCAGAAGCAGTGCACACAGCACCATAATGAGCGTAGACCACCATGCTGGATCCCTGCCAAATTCTGATATCAGCCCCCCGCGAACAGAATACGGGCCCGCGCTTGGTGAAGAGATGGCACCCGCTACGAGCAAATAGGCCCACAGTACCGCGATACTGCCGACGATGGACCAGAGGGCAACTCTGGTTTTGTAATGTAGCTCAATGACCCTGTTTCAAGTCAGCAAGTTTATCATGGAATCTAAGCTTGGATGTACTCACAGTAACTTAATGTTGACCCAAACCCCACATAGCACAAATGTCAGCAATCCTTGCGCATACAGCCCGTCATCTTCAATCATTTCAGAGTCCGTGTAACCCGCCCAGGCGCCAGCATAGACAATGAGTCCAGAAATCATTGCGTTACTGAACCAGCTAAAGTACACCGACATATTCAGACCCTCAGCATTTTGTCCATACTTGAACAGCTCCGGGACCACAGTCAGAGTGCGCGAGTGGAGATCTTGTTCCCAAGTTCCAATAACGAGGATGCAAGCCGCAGTGAAGAAACTCACAAAAGTCAGACTTCCTGGTTCGTACAAACTCGTGCCCGTGGCCCCAGTCTGCTCTTGAAAGAGTGCCTGCGGGAGGTAGAAAAAGGTCTCCTTCCAGAACGTGGCCAAGATGAAACGTGTCGTGCGGTAGTAGTTCCAACGGCCATGAACAAGTACCAGCCGAGACAGATACCGAAACTGAGAGATGCTGAAGTCCGCGACTCGAGCGGCCTGTTGACCCTCTCTGCCAGAGATGCCAACACCGACATTGGCAGCAGAGATCATGGCCAGGTCGTTGGCACCGTCGCCGATAGCAAGAGTCAGGGGCTTATTGGAGGTTGGACTAAGCCAACTATACCATCGCGACTTCTTCTGCGGGCCTTTGCCGATTTCAGTTACGAGCAGGGCTTTTTGGGCAGGCGATGCACGACAGCAAATAACAGAGTCGACCTTGGTCATCATTGTGACAAACAATTGACGGAGTCGAATCGCGGATGGGTCTTCGATTGCAGTCAAAGTCTCGCCGTCGATCACTATTGCCGTGTGCGAGCGAGTCGGGTCAGAATACACCTGTGGGAGACCATATTGGACCACGTCCGCAATGCCGGTAAGTTGCAACTCAAGATCACCTTTCTCGATGTCTAGTACGAAAAGAGAAGTATCGGGACCAACGATCCGTGTCGAATGAGCGATGTTGATGGCCGTCTCTCGCTTGTCGCCAGTAAGCATCCAAATCTTAATCCTAGCCTGCCGTAGCTTCTCAATCGTTTCCGGTACCCCAGTCTGCAGCTTGTCCTCCACTGCAGAAGCTCCCACGAGATCAAGAGACTGCTCCAGTAGCTCGCTCACCTCCTCGATGCGCTCTTGACGGTTCACAAGGCTAGTCTCGGCTTCGTGGTGGAGGTGTTTCCAGTTGTTGTACTCTTCGGGGTCGAGGAACTTGTCCGCGTAGACCAAAGTGCGCAGTCCCTCGGTTGCGTAGTCGTCAATGTGAGCAAAACACTCGCGAAGGGTCCGAGTCTCATCCGCAATCCAGGATCCCTCCAGAAATCCGAACCGAGACTGGTCGTTTTGTCTATCGCGTGCCAAGTTATTCTGCGGCCGTTGTGGCTGGAGCCGAATCCCGAACTCGTCGAAATCTCCTGACGTTTGACTATAAACTGAGCGGTCGTCGTTCTCTCTTATCTCGGTAACTGTCTCAGCAGGAAGTCTCGACATTCGTGAACTCCAGCGTGATGGCATTGAGGTTAAGCCCTTCAGAGGTTCAGTGTTGCTGTTGCGGGTGCTCTTCATGTCTGCAGGAGCCATGCGTAGCCGGGGTAAGACGATGGAGTCGGCCCCCTTGCAGATAAGCCACAATCTCCCATCCGGACAACGAAGAACTATAGTCATCCGCTTGCGCTTGCTGCTGAATTCAATCACATCCAAGATCTCAAAAACAGTGCAAGAGCTGTTGCCGTCGGCATGAGGTATCTGCACCGTGATAGACTGTGATGACCGCTGAATGACGAGGAAACCGAGCTCCTGCGCACCCCTGACTAATGCCAACTCGTCAGGAGAAGAAGCTTGAAAGTCAATCTCCCCGTCATCAGTTCTCTCCGGAAGACAGGTATGGCAAAGTGACATAGCCAAGATGTACTTCATAGCTCTAGAAGCGAAGAAAGAGTTGGGCTTCGATCGGATGTACTCAAGCATGTGCTCGGTTGTCAAATTCGAAGTCGAGTCCGCACTCGCTGTCGAGCGCTCTGGTAAATCCATCTGATGAAGCCAGCTAGTTCCAGCGATGCTGAGCCTCCGAAGCTTCATGATGTTCTCCGTCAGGGTTCCAGTCTTGTCACTAAAGACATAACTGATCTGGCCAAGATCGTCAAGGTTGTTAGTTGTATTGACTCCTGCAGGGGTATCTGTCGCGTCGTGGTACATCTCTAAGTCGTCGCTGATGAGAGTCATTTGGCCTAGCTTTGTGGCCTCAAGTCCGACATAGAGAGACAGCGGAATGACGTTGTTGAACATGATGATGAAGCCGACAAAGATGTCCGCGAAAGGAACGGAGGCGCCGGACAAGTACCAAGCGTGGTCCTCCTCAGAACCTTTCCAAGCAAGATAACCCATTGACGTCGCAGCAGAGCTTATTAGGACGTAGAACATTAAGAACACGACAATGAAGTTGGTGATCCTCTCCAACGCCGGCTGCTTAGGTTTTGTCTCCTTGTTCGAGTTCAACCTGATCTTGCAATCCTCTCCCGTGTTGATGATAACCCCGATGACTTTCGTCGTGTTGCGAATTGTGCTCCCTCGATAGATAACCTCGTTGATAGTGAGTGGCACCGTGAAGCCATTCACTGTGAGCTTGCTGTCGAAGCGATAAAGATCCGCGTTGGGGTCTTCGGCAAGTAACTCAGCATTGGAAGAGGCGATTTGTTCGATCGTGCCACAATTAGGAAGCTTTGCCGGCCTTTGCTTGGATTTGAGACTGGTCTCGCCGTCCAAAGCCATCGTGTCGACATAGGCCACCCCTTCTTGCCCATCAGCATGCAACAAAACCATATCTGCCGGCACATCTTCATCTCTTGAAAGTGACACAATATCTCCGACTTTGAGATCTTTCCAATTGACGGTCATCCACTGATGCCCCGTTGAATTTGATCCTTCGTAGTACTCAGGCCCGGCAGCCAGGGATCCTTTCGCTCCTGATGCGGCACTCCGAAGAGCCATGGACTGTCGGTTGTTCTCTGCCACATCTTGGCGATGTCGCTTCCAATCGTAGTACCCTTCCTTCGATATAATGAGTCCCAAGAAGATAACAAGAGGGATAAGTGTTGTAAATTTGCCAGTGGTGCTGAAACCAGGGATCATTTGCAAGATGGAGATGATGAGCATGTAGGCATTGGCGAGTCGCGAAAACTGGTAAAGGAGTTGCCGGGGCAGGAAGTCGAAGACATTGTATTTAGAGGTCTTGATGCTGTTTGAGATGTACGGCTTGCCACGACGTTCGTCGTGTAATGTAGACTTCTGTTCCAGTCGGATCGGGATTCGACGACCGGTGGAAGGTGATGGCACACGGGATCTCGACAGCAAAGACTTGAAGCCTCCAAACCCCATGCTGGGTACAGTGGAGACTTGTTATCTGTGAAAGACTGATCTGAAATCTCGCAGACGTATGTCTGTTTGGTGCAAGGTTAGCCTGGCGTAGACCTCTCAGAAAGTATGACAAAACCTACCACCGGATAGGTTGTGTGTCGTTGAATGCCTTTACTAAATTTGCTGAGTATATCGAGAGAGTTGTTGCGGTCTTGTGTCATTGATGTTCACGTCAGGATGGCCTCTTCATATGTCCACGATCCTTCGCATCAACCTCAAGATGAATGGCTGTCAGTATATTTGGAATTGACTGTTGGCCTAGAAGTCACCACCCGCAAGTAGATGAGCAAAGATCAACATTTGCCAAGGGATCTAAGCCATTTCAACACCCACACCCGCCTCGTTGGTGATAAACACCCACCCGTAGCGGCCGGGAGCACGGCCCTTCCAGCGGCCCAAGAGATGTCGAAAGAGAAAACGATAACGAGCCAAGACTACAAAAAGCACCTTGTATCACAGGAATATGACCCTAGACAAGCTGCTACAGATGTAACGATCCGCTATCTTAGAGCATAGCCCCAATAGGAAACTTCCGAGTACGAGATGGCCCCACGCCAGCGAGTCGTAGGTTTCGACGCCCTTCAGCCAACCACATCTCATGTGCATCAGATCGCCAGCCGACTTTTCGAGATGACCGACAAGGAGACAGAGACTTACATGTCTATGGGTAGTACAACTAGCCTAATACTGACTCAGTACGTCAATATATGTTTCACTTCTTGACAGTGGCTCATTCTTAAGGTTTCAGAGTGCCGGCGATGGTTGAGCTAAATCGGTAACGGCCATCGGACTGGACAGTGCAACCTCGTTTTAGCGCTGCAAATGACGATCTTCAAAAACTCCGTAATCAGAATGGCCACCGAACCTCTCTCAAGTCGCTTTGGCAACGACGTTATCAACAGTCAACACCTGCCAG